TGCAGGTAGCTGGATTTCGAGGGCCATTCAGCCTGACTGCTGAGACTGTCAGTGGAAGTGCCATTGTCTGATGTAGACAGGTCTGCGCTAGGAGCTATGAATCACATCACATCACATCACCTACCAAACAGGAAAAGGACAGCATTCAAGCACCACTGACCTGGGGGAGGAGTGCACCTGACAGTTGCACTAAAAGGCTCAATTTCTAACTGCCCTTACAGTCTAATCCCCCATCCAAAACCCTGTGTAAGTGTGTGCGCATCTTAAAGGAAATCCCGCATTGTTGTCCAGAAAAAAGAACTAGATATTGATACAATTCAACCACAAGATGGTGCTACTATCATAGTACAATATCAGAGATGTAACAAGCATTCAGTACACCAAGTATTCCGAACTTTGGAAGTTTACCCAGGTACAACATATTCTTGTTCCTTTCTTTTTATTCTTACCGAGATGTAGTCAAAACATCTTATACAAGTTTAAAGTTTTTTGTTGTTGTTTGTACAAGCTTAGGGTTTTTTGCTTGTTTGATTGATTGATTTTATTTCCTTAGGAAGCAAAGCATAATCTTAAACTAAAAAAGAAAAAATCCTTACTTACACTTTTTCCCCTTCTGGCTGGTTCATTTTCCTAGGGTGTTCTTAATGACATTTTCCCCCTTCCAGCTGGTTCATTTTCCTAGGGTGTTCTGACATGGCCATGCCCTACCTAACCTCATATCAACACTGAAGGAAGAAATTACAGAAACAGCTACTCTGAGACTAAAGAAGCCAAAACTTAACATTATGAGGCTCTCTGAGACCCCAAATCAATAATGGGAATGGACACACAGACAGAATTAGGGTTCTTTGAAGAAATACAACCAGGGTGCTCCTTAGAAGCCAGGAGAGCTTCCTTTACATCTCATCAGGAAAAAGGCCAATCGCTAGAGATGGACTTCCTGTTTGGTAGCGGGCCACCACCAATAAGATGAAGCAGCACAATCACTGCGTATGGCAACCTAAAACCACAGGCGTGTGTAGGCAGGGCAGACTGAAAGCAGAGCCTAAGCAGCATTCGACAGTCTTGACATTACTCTAGACTCCACAGTGAAGTTTGAAAACTGCCTTTTCTAACAGCAGTTCCTCTAATCTGATACGAACCTGTTGTTAAATGCTGTTGAGTTGGTTGCAACCCATAGTGACCCAGTTTAGGGTTTCTAAGAAGTAGCTGGTGAGCTTGAACTGCCGACCTTGTGGTTCAAACTGACCTTGCAGTTCAGCGCGTTAACCAAGGCTACTAACCATATGTTGTTGTTGTTGTTGTTTGTAAGTGTCGTCGAGTCAATTCTAATCCATAGCAACTCTGTATAGGGTTTCCAAGGAGTAGCTGGTGAGTTTGAACCACCAACCTTGCAGTTCAAATGACTTTGCAGTCTGACGCATTAGCCCACAACGCCACACCAGGACTCCATATATATACCTTAGAGAGGTGATATTCCTCTTCTCTGAGGTCTGGTAGGTGCAGGATGCCACAATTTATTCCTCTATGGTCAAGTAGATGCAAAGTATCTTATACCCACATGGTCCTGACACACTTTATCCATAAATCTTTACAATGGATCTCCAGAAACAGCATGATTGAGAAAGCAATTGTAACAGCAGGTTACTCAGAAAACCTGTCCTGCCACAATCCTGTGAGCATCCTGTAATAAACGGAAGAGCCCTAACTAGTCTTGTCATCCCACAGATAGGTTATCCACCTAGCCCTGCTACGACTCTGCTTTTGTACAGCCCACCTTTTACACCCCTTAGTGTCTTTTGGCCAATTATGATTTTGTAACTTCTAGTTCCTGCTCTATCTGTACAGAAATATTTTCTTCCTGTCTGGGAGAGTGGCCACTTTCACTCTGTGAATCTGCACATCTTCCTGGACTGGACAGTCTCTGTTCCTCATCAAACCCCAGTGTTTTAGGCAGACTCTCTGAAGGTGCTCTACAAGAGCTGCAACAATAGAGCCAAACACACCAACAAGCCTGAAGATGGCCAGGACCAGGCAACCGTTTCCTTCCATTACATGAGCTGGAGCCAGCAAACGGGAACTGACACCACGCACACGTATTTTGTGTTTGCTTATGACCTTGACCACTCTCAAATTCCGTGAGAGTAAGGTCTTGTTCACGGTTGTAGGGCAGCATCTAGGGCAGTACCTGACACACAAGAGAAATCCTCACCAAGCTGAGCCTCTTGGCTTTATCATATGTAAAATGGGATAGTGAACACCGTCTGCATCACCCATTCTTCAGACAATGAAATGAAAACAATGTCTGCTAAAGTATTTGAAAACTGTAAATCATTATAGAAGAAAGCTGACAGAGATAGTGGAAGATGTTTCTTAACATAGTAGAAGAAAGCTGTGGTACCAATTATACATATAAATGACAGATTTTTTATTACTTCCTAGAGAATAAATTTTTAGTTCATATATGCTGATTCCATTGTTCTTTATAAGAAAAAATACACTCTAGAAAGAAACATTTATCCAAGTATATAATTTCCAAATAACTAAAGAACTCTGCCCAAGATTGGACTCTTCAGGAAATTAAAAGAATGAAAATCTGATTATTTGACTTCTAATAAAACCACAGAAGTAATTTAATTTCCGAAAAATAAATGTTAAGAAGAAAAATATTTAAGCTAAAGTTAGTTTTTCTAGAGCCCAAGAGAAAAATCTTTGGAAAAGGATTTCGTAAAAATGAGGTAAGCAAACTAGAAAATCATTATAAGTATTTTATTTTACAAGAACAAAATGCAGGCAGCTAAATTTGTTATCTAAATTTAGGCCCATAGCTCTGGTAGCGTAGTGGTTACGAATCAGGCTGCGAACGGCAAGGTCAGCAGTTCTAAACTACCAGCTGCTCCGCGGGAGAAAGATGAGGCTTTCTGCTCCCGTAAAGATTTACAGCCTCGGAAACCCTGTACAGGGTCACTGTGAGTCGGAACCGACTCCACGGCACTTAACAACAACAACAGCATGGATTCCAATGTTTTTATTTTAATAAATAGAACACAAATAATTTAAAATAACAATTGTATCAAAGTCACTGATGTAACCCACCTGAACTTCTCAGGAAAATATCCATGAAGATATCAAATAAAAATGCATAACTGAAAAATCTCCCTATGAGGGGACTTCAAAAGTTCATGAAAAAATTCTATTATCTTTTAATTCCATGAACTTTTTGAAGCCCCTTCATGTTTCAAGCCTCGGAGAAGTGAGGACGGACACACCACTAAACCTAGTGTTGTTGTTGTCAAGTTCTGACTCAAAGTGACCTGCAGAAAGTTTTCAAGGGGCAGCTGGTGGGTTTGAACCGCCAACCTTGCCTTTAGCTGTTCAGTGCTTATACTACAGTGCTACACCAGGACTCCAACTCTAGTGCTATTGGCTTTATAATAAAGAGCTCTGCTCTGGCCTCTAAGAGTAAAACACTCCAAGAAGAAGGAGAAATGGGAGAGCCTTCTGAAGTCTTAGTTTTTCTTCCGAGTCGGGCCCCCAGGTTCAGAAATACAGAAGAGCCCTAATGCAACCCATGACTTCTATCGCTCACATGCAGAGCTCAGATCTCCCCTCAGCTGCATCATGTTTACCCCTGTGTTGGGTCAAAAAGTGGTGCTAGCCAGGGAGTAGCTATAACTTATCAGGGACTCTCTCCTTCCAGCCCAGGATGACGTGACAGTTCTGATAGAAAGCAGGGAATGTTACCTCATTGTTATGACTTAGAATGATAACCTGTGAACTGTGTCTGGCAAGGTGCCTTCTTTGTTCTGTAGCAGTATATAAAGGCTTCCTTCACGTGAGAAGGCTTAAGGGCAAGAAACTACCTGAGACCCCTTCCCCTGTGCTGAGTGCTATTTGCTGAACAAAGGAATGAGCCATTTCCCCACTGCACCACGAATGCTCTTCAGCTGCCAGACTATGAGCCTGCTTAGTGCTGAATGTTTACCATACACTGTTACTTTCTAGTTACAAAACAACTTAACATTAGACCGGTACATTTATATTAATATATTTGCTATAAAGTGGGTAGAATTTAAAGTCAAACATGAGGGAAGAAGAAGTTAAATGATTCTTTTAGGGAAATTGATATAAAAGATGGTTTATGTTGTTGTTAAGCGCCATTGAGTTGGTTCCAACTCACAGTAACCCTGTATAGGGTTTCCGAGGAGCGGTTGGTAGGTTTGAACTGCTGACCTTGTGATTAGCAGTCCAGTGATTATCCTACAGTACCACACCAGGACTCCTGATCATTTATAGAAATTATTAATTTTAAGTTGTTGTTGTTATGTGCCGTGGAGTTGGTTCCGACTCATAGAGACCCTGTACAGGGTTTCCGAGGCTGTAAATCTTGACGGGGGCAGAAAGCCTCATCTTTTTCCCATGGAACAGCTGGTAGTTTCGAACTGCTGACCTGAAGGTTCGCAGCCCAATTCATAACCACTATGCTACCAGAGCTCCTTAATTTTAAGTAGTGATTCTTAATTTTCATGGGAGGGGAGGAAGGTATGTTAAAGGGTCTAATGAAGTCTATCGATTTTGTCTCAGGAAAAAATGCATATAGGCACATATATCCAAAAATGCTGGCATATTTTCAGGAGGCTCATGGGCTCTTGACGTCCACCCATGAGTACTGCATCTTGAAGGCTTCAAGTTCTATAAGGCTAAAGATTGAGTTTCAAAATTCTCATGACTATTAAATCCTCGTAAGCAGTATCCAGACTCCAAGGACTATGTGATTGGGATCTAATTGTGAGTCATGGATCTGGCATACCTTAGACTCTGCCATTAGCTATTTCTATAATACAGCCTTTACATCTCCAGTTCTTAAACAACGACAGCTGCTGTTTATCTTTGGAACAAGCCCCTAAAGAGTAAGCATCTAATGCTGCTTGAGAAAACAATAAAAAGCATAAATCAGTCTAAAAATCAGTAACTATGACAAGGGATGGAATTCAACTCACAAAATCTGCTTCAAGTTTTCCCATTTCTTGCTTATAGCTTTTCATTCGGTTGCTGTGCATTCCTCGGCTTTGGGGTGGTATCTCTCGGACTTCCAAATCCATCTGTTCCAGCTAGAAAGGGGAAGAGAAAAACATGATGTGAACCATATGCTTATTCTTTATTTGAGCAGACATTGCAAGCTGAAAGGATTTATTTCCAACTCCTCATTTTACAGTTGAGGAGCCAGGCCCAGGGACCTAAGTGTCCACTGGTCAAACAGCATTGAGACTCTTTTTGTGGTTGATTTTTATTTGGTTCAACAGTTAATGAGAACTTGCAGAATGTCACTGAGAGTGCCAGAGTCTTTACTTTGCCAAAAATTTCTGTTAAAGCATATATATTATATGTAACAATGTAAGAAGCTGGACTAGATGAAGAAAAAAGTGACATCAGGACTGGAGGAAGACTCATTAACAACCTGCCATATGCAGATGACACAACTGTGCTTGCTGGAAGTGAAAATTTGAGGCACTTACTGATGAAGATCAAAGACTACAGACTTCAGTACGGATTATACCTCAACATGAAGAAAACAACATCTTCACAACAGTCACCAATAAGCAACATCATGATAAATGAAGAAAATAGTGACATTGTTGAGGATTTCATTTTACTTAGATCAACAATCAGTTCTCAAGAAATCAAACAACATACTGTGTTGGGCAAATCTGCTGCAAAAGACATCTTTCAATTTTTTCAAAAGCAAAGATGTCACTTTGATGACTGAAGTGCACCTAACGCAACTGGTGCATATGCATGTGAAAACTGGACAAATGAAAAAAAGAAGACTGGAGAAGAACTGATGCATTTGAGTAGTGGTGTTGTCAAAGGATACTGAACAAAGCATGGACTTCCAGGAGAAGGAACAAATCTATCTTGGAGGAAGTACAGCCAGAATGATCCCTAGAAGTGAGCCTGGGAAGACTTCATCTTGCTTACTTTGGATACGAGACCAGGAGAGACCAATCTCTGGAGAAGGACATCAGTTTGGTAAAGTGGAGAGTTAATAAAAAATAAGATCCTTGTGATGGTTAAGGTTACATGTCAACTTGGCTCGGCCATGATTCTCACTAGTTTGGTAGTTATGTAATAATAGAGCTATCCTCCACTTTGTCATGATATCTGATGTGATCAGCTAATCCGTTTGCAAGGAGTGTTTCCTCAGGGTGTGGTCGTATTCCAATATACATGGACTTTGTGGAAAAGACCCCTATCTTTTTTTGTTCACTATGGATCTGCATCATCCAAATCTTGTTCTTAAAACTTGAACCAGTGGCTTAAGAGTCATCAGCCTCCACAGTCAGTAAGGAGCTCTGGTAGCGTAGTGGTTACGAATCGGGCTGCGAACGGCAAGGTTGGTAATTCGAAACTACTAGCTGCTCTGTGGGAGAAAGATGAGGCTTTGTGCTCCCGTAAAGATTTACAGCCTCGGAAACCCTGTACAGGATCACTATGAGTCAGAACCAACTCCACCACACATAACCACCACCACCACAGTCAATAAGTCAGCAATCTGCCTGCCATCTGGCCTGCTGACCTTGGGTTCATCAGCTTCTACTACTAAGTGAATCCTGGGAAGCCTTCAGCTTGATGTCTGACCCACAAACATGAGAACTGTCAGCTTCTACAACCACATGAGATATTTCCTTGAGACGAATCTCTTTCTCTATATGGTTAGGACTATCAACCTCCTGTGCAGTAGAAAATCCATGTTTAATTCACAGTTGACCCTTGAACACTGGTTTGAACTGTGTGCCCACTTATATGTGGATGTTTTATCCTCCTGCAACTTCAGTGACCTAAAATGTTGCGAATATCACCTTAAGCCACTTAAAACACCATGGGATGCTAATTATCTCCACATGAGTAGTTCCTCTCTCCATTACAGTGAGAACTGGTCACATGGGGATTCTTAGCCTCACGCCAAATTTTAAGGACATACTTTGATCAACCATTCACCATCAACACTCATGGAAGCAGCAGTCATGGGATCAAAGGGCGTATTGCATTAGGCAAATCTGCTGCACAAGACGTCTTTAAAGTGTTCAAGAGCAAACATGTCAGTTTGAGGACTAAGGTGCGCTGGACCAAGCAAGCCATGGTATTTTCAATAGCCTCACAGCATGTGAAAGTTGGACAGTGGATAAGGAAGATTGTAGAAGAATTGATGCATTTGAGTTATGGTGTTGGAGGAGAACATTGAAAGTACCATGAACAGGCAGGGACTCCTGCAGTGGCCCTGTAGGATCAGCACTAGACTGCGAACCACAAGGTTGGGGGTTCAAACCCAGTAGTCCCGCCTGAGAAAACCCACACAGGATCGCTATGAGTTGGAAGCGACTCAACAGCACTTAACAATGACAACATGGACTTCCAGAGCAACAAACAAATCTGTGTTGGAAGAAGTCCAACCAGTGCTCCTTAGAAGCCAGTATGACCAGACTTCGTTCTTCATATTTTGGACATTTTATTACGAGGGACCAATCCCTGGAGAAGGACATCATGCTTGGTAAAGTGGAGGGTCAGTGAAAAAGAGGGAGCTCCAAACGAGATGGACTGGCACAGTGGCAGTAACGAAGGGCTCAAACGTAGCAACAATTGTGAGATTGGCACAGGCCTGGGTAGTGTTGTGTTCTGTTGTGCACAAGGTCACGTCAGTACCCATCAATGTCATCTAACAACAACAACAATTAACAACATTTGAGCTCACTGCAGTAACAACAGGGAATAAAATTCATGTATAAGTGGGCCTGCAAAGTTTAAACTCATGTTGTCCAAAGGTAAACTGTACATATATAAGCCTCACTGGTTTTACTATTGTAAAGACTCCAGCTTACAACAACACTCAAAGACACAGACAGACAGACAGACAGAGTGGCTCTAACAACAGGCTCAAACATAGCAATAATTGTGAGGATGGAGCAGGATCAGGCCACATTTCTTTCTGTTATACAAAGGTCACTGAGAGTCGGGTGGGCACCAGGGCACATCCAAACCTCCTCAATAATTTGATTTGAATATCCTTGGCTGAAACACAATGAAGCCTGTGAAGCTGACGCAGGACTGCATACTGTTTTGTTCTGTTGTACACAGGGTTGCTATGAATCAAAATCGACTTACCCTGAACAGCACCTAACAACATAACATCATCCTTGGAGTAATCCATTATCCAGCCCAAAGTATGCATTTCTGATCTGGTCTTCTGACCAGGAACCATCAGAACGATGGGAAACAAATAATTATTTCCCAGGAAATGCCAGTGCAGCCTTAGTGATTTGGTGAAATCTCTGAAAAAGTCATTTCTGAGTGTTGTTGTTTTTAGGGACCATTGAGTTGGCTCTGACTCAGAGCCACTCTATCTGTGTCCAACAGAACAAAGCACTGTCCAGTCCTGCACCCTCCTTACCACGGCTGTTCTGTTGGCGTCATTGTTGCTGCCACGGTGTCAATCCATGTCATTGAAGGTCTTTCCCCTTTTCACTGACCCTCCACTTTACCTCCATGATGTCCTTCTCTGGGGGCTGCTCCTTACTGACAATATGTCCAAAGTATGAGAAAATATTATCTATATGATCAACATGTGATCTCAACCTCTAGCCTATCTCTTTCTACTGTCTAACCATGCTGACGTGGAGTTAAATGAACACAGTGGTATCATGTTAATTTACACGAAGCTCACTGAAATCCCAGCCTGTCATTATATAACACTTTGGATATAGCACATAATCATTTATGGGAGGCTACACAGCATTAACATAATGGTTAAGAGCACAGGCTTTGGTATCAGACTCCCGTATTCACCAGGACTACTTACTAGTTATGTGATACTGACCAGGTTTTTCATGTTCTAGTTGCCAGATACTTTTTCTCGTTTCTAAGAAGAGTATTTATTTCTTTCCTGGAGTGGCTATGAAGATTAAATTACATCATTCCTATAATGTGCTTATAATAGTTTCTCTGACTTGGTAAAAACTAGATTAATGCTAATTATGAGTCCAGGTATGGTGGATAAGCACCGGACTGCTAACTGTAAGGCTGGCAGTTCAAAACCACGAACCACTCCTCAGAAACCCAAGCACACGTGTCTGCTCTATCTACTTGTTCCTATTGTTTTTCTGCCTCTTACATTGGATAAGTAAGGGTTTGTTAATACTAAATAAGCTCATAGTGTTCATGGAAAGAACTTTATAGAATGCTTTAAAATGTCAAATATTTGGCAACATTTCTGTGTGAGTTTATCAGACTTGGTCTGGGTCAATCTGTTATTTTTGGTTGTTTGTAAACACATCATCATCATCAGTAACCATCACAACCATGAGAGTCTAACCCACAGACATCTAGTTGACTTCAAGTGGTGTTGACCCTGTAGGACAGGTTAGGGCTTCTAAGGCTGTAGTCTTTACGGAAGCAGACTGCCACATTTCTCTCCAGCAGAGCAGTTGGTAGGTTCGAACTGCCCACTGTTTGGTTAGCAGCTGGGTACTTTAACTACTGTGGTACCAGAGTTCCTTATCACTATGTCGTTGTTGTTGTTAATGTTGTGTGCCATCAAGTCAGTTCTAACTTAAGTGCCCTGTGCAGGGTTTCCGAGGCTGTCTTTATGGGAGCATCTTTCTCTAGTGGAGTAACTGGCAGATCCAAACTACTGACCTTGTGGTTAGCAGCCCCACTACCAGAACTCCTTGATTTAAGCAGTGGTTCATTTAAATTATTAACATGTCTCAACATAAATGAGATGCACCAATTACTTAGCAAGCCAGTTAGTTAAAGCCCCTCTCTGAAATCATCAGCAAGTAGTTCATTCTCCCCAAGGTAAACAAGGTAATTCAGACAAATGATTGCAGAAGTACATGCAAATGGAAATCCAAGAGTGAAACACATTTTTGTTTAAGGTATTTTACAAGGATACTTAAAACTAAATTGGAGAGAAACAAACAAACAAGCACTTAAAATGAAATCAAGAACAAGACTGATACACACTTATGCGGTCACACCACTCATCCTGTCACTGCATAAGCAAAAATTGTAAGATAATGACAAATCATGAAGTAACCAAGAGATTAATACAAGTCAGTTTGTTCAGCAAAAGCACAATTAATCCTAAAAGTCAAATAAAAGCTTTTTCTCCCAGGGTCTTCATCACAAGGACAGTATGCTATTGTGGAGTGTTGTCACGTCAGATCCAACTCATAACGACTCTGAGCTGCTGGTGGGTTGGAACTGCCTACCGTGCAGCTACCAGTACAATGCTTATCCTACAGCGTCACATCAGGACCCAATATGATTGGATAATATAACAGTGTTCTTAACAATGATGTCATCAGAATTAAGTAAATCATCTTTTCTGATCATTTGATACACGTGCAAACATCTATGTTGGACAGAAGTGTTCACACAGAAACCTGGGTTATCAGGAGACCACCTTTTCAGTATCATCAAATCAACAGAATGTCTCCAGAAGTTGACTAGTAAATAGACTAAGAAACAGATTTTTAAAGCGACAAGATGATACTAGAAACTCAACACTATAAAAAGTTGGTGAGAAATCCCAAGACTTTACCGGTTGTAGTATTTAGGGTAAACTTGCCAGCGAGAAAGCCTACCAGCCCGATGAGCGGCTAAGGGATGCAAAAGGTCAGTCCTTTTACATGAAGACCAAGAAGCATGAAAGCAGCAGCAGCTGAATATAACAAAAAAAGCAAGCCAGGAGAAAAACCCTTGAAAGAAAAGGAAACTTTCAAAAGCGAGGCAAACATTAGAAGCTGTGAAGATGACATGCTAAAGCCACCACTGTAGGGATGGTGACAGCAGCCAGCTGAGATGAGAAGTAGTAATGGGCTCAGAGAACAGCAGACATTCTGACAGCCGAGAAGAGCCCAAGCCCGAGCCAGAGGGTGGAGCAGGGATGCAACCCAATCCCTTAGCCCTGGCTGGCATAAGGAAAAGTGTCCTTTGCAATCAAGAGCAACTGCCTGCTGTCCCTTAATCTCCCGCTGCCCTTCAGTCCATTCCAACTGATAATGACCTCACTGGGTTCCCAAGGCTGTCGTCTCTTCAGAAGCAGATTGTCACAGCTTTCTACCTAGGAGCGGCTGGCAGGTTTAAACCACCAACCTTTTGGTTAGCACAGAGCACTTTAACCTCTGCACTACCAGGCTACTTACCTGTTCCTTAATACCCTTGGAGCAACAGTTCCCCACAGGTATGGTCCTGTTAACACATGTTACTCAGTCAGGTGAGCTTGGGGAATGCGCCATGTTTTAACCAATTTGTGTAGTAGGATTCTGAAGGAAAACACCCCAAACAGACCCTAAAACCCAACTCTGCTTAAGCTGCAGTTTCCTGTTGACAGAAATACACTTTAGGAAATGGTCCCAAGTATGCAAGCATTCCCTGCTGCTGCCAGTGAGTCCATTTCTACTCAAAGTACAACCACCCCAGAGTTTTTCATGGCTGTAATCTTTATAGAAGCAGACTGTTGGGTGGACTCGAACCACCAACCTTTCAATTAGTAGCTGAGCACTTCACTGTTTGTGCCACTAGGGCTCCTTAGTCTATCAGAACGTGCTAATGGAATGTCAAGCAGTGCCTGTCAGTATTTAGGGAGGCAACACATTCAGTGAGGACACTGTAGTAGCAAAATTAGATCACAGTTATAATAATCTTGTTTTAATTTTTTTTTTTTTTTAATTGGGACACAATGCTTTTAATACTTTCTCCCCCTGATTTGTGACTTCACTGATAGGAGAAAGTAGCCCTAGCTTTGGCATATCTAGACATGATTGGGACTTTACCTCAGGGTGGGTCCTCAGACAAGTTAGACTTTCTAAGTCTCTGTGAGGATAACTCCCCCAAGAGTCTCTCCTGTTCCTACCTACAGCTTTTGCTGGGTATTCTCTTTAACCAGGCCACTTCTCAGGGTTCTGGTTGCAGGAGCAACCTCGAGGGATGAAATAAAGTCTCCCCACCCCATGGGACAAAGGGTAGGTTTGCTCACAGGCTGGTACAAGGCAGTCAGTTCCCCAGGCTCCGTGTTCCTCTCCTGTACCATATTTTCACTGTGTGGGCAGGCAGCCACTGGTAGACCCACCTGCGTCATTTCTGTGGGAACCGGGACTTAGGGAACTGATGGGAACGTGGTGACACTCCAGATACGGCTTCTACTGTGAGTAACAAAACAATCTGTCTCTGACCCAGGCGTCTGTCATCTGTCAGCTTGCCATGAAACTGTGGCAAGCTACTTTATTAGCTTAGAAACACGATAAAATCTTGGATTCTTTACAGTTCTTGGCAAACAGCACTTGTCTCACAAGGTTTTTGGGAAAAATTAAACAGTGTAAGTCACATGCTTAACCCTGTGTGCACGACCCAGGGTGCACTTAACCAGTAGTATCCATTTCATGTATAGACATAATAAAAAATACTAAAAATAAAAAGTAGACATGTAATGAATCATCTCTGTGAAAAAGAGTAAATCCCTTCCTTGTTGATAAGTGCTGTTGAGTCGGTTCCAATTCATAGCGACGCTGTATAAGGTTTCCCAGGAGCAGCAGGTGAGCTTGAATCAACGACCTCGCAATGATTCAAACCGATGTTGCAGTCCAGCACATTAACCCACAGCGCCACACCAGGACTCCCTGGTGGTTAGGAGGTGATATGGTGTGGAATCGGTTCCAACTCATACTGCCCTGCACAGGGTTTCCAAGACTGTAAATCTTTATGGGAGCAGAAAGCCTCATCTTTCTCCCGTGGAACAGCTGGTAGTTGCGAACTGCTGACTGCGGTTAGCAGCCCGATTCGTAACCACTACGCTACCAGAGCTCCTTCCAGGATTCCCTGTTGTTGTTGTTAAGTGCCATCGAATCGGTTCCAACCCATAGGGACCCTGTATAGGGTTTCCAAGGAGCGGCAGGTGAGCTTGAACCAACGACCTTGCAGTTCAAACGGCTTTGCAAAAGCTATTAAATTGTCCTCAATGTAAAAACTGATGGCTACTAAACTATAACATACTCATCAGTAATGTTTTACATTTCCACAGAGGAAAACAAACTAGAGAAAGCGTAAGTTTGAATGGTTCTGGCTGAGTGTTAAAATGCATTGCCAAGCCTGTACATACCAATTCTTTTGCTTCTTCAAGCTGTTTCTCCACATTTGCAACCATCTGTTTCTTCTCATCTGAAACAACAATATCAAGGAATTGCTAAGAATGTGAGTAAATTTAGTATTTAAATGCTTCCCTACCAAACACCTGGAAGGACTGAATTATGGGACCTGGGAGCTCAGGATCATGACCTTCAGGTTCTTAAAGGTCAGTCAGTCCGACAGTCCACCAAGACTAGGTTCTAAAGCCGACTTAGAGCAGCGACTAGGTCTTAAACATCAGTCAGTCCATCAGTCCACCAAGACAATGTTCTACAGCCAACTTAGGGGAGCAGCGACTAGGTCTTAAAGGTCAGTCAGTCCAACAGTCCACCAAGACAAGGTTCTACAGCTGACTTAGCGGAGCAGCGATTAGGTCTTGAAAGCTTGTGATTAGCCATCTAAGGTGTGACTATTGCTTTCTCCCAGAGCAAAGGAGAATGAAGACAAAAAATGCCTGAAACCATTCGTCTGATGGACTAATGGGCCATACAACCCTCAGTCTCCATGACCCAGAGACTAGAACTAGATGGGGCCCAGCTACTATGACCAACCGTTCTGAAAGCGATTACCACAGAAGGGCCTGAAAAGAGTAGAGAGAAAAATGTGGAACAAAACCCAAAATCAGGGAAAAAAAGTCCATGTTTAATGGTCTGAGACAAGAGGAACCCCCTTAGTCACCCCTGAAGCCTACAACTGACCTCACCCCTGTGACTCAACTTTCAGCCAGACGTTAGACAGGCCTATAAGGGGAACAGTCACATGAGGGAGGTATACACTCAGTAGACGACAACCAAAGGGGAACAGAAAACACAGGGAAGAAAGAAGTGGGACGAATGCTGTGGGCAGCAATCATGTCACAAAACAACATGTGCACGAAGGACTGAATGAAAAGCCAGTTTGCTCTGTAAACTTTAACCCAAAACACTGTGAAAAGGAGTCCTGGTGTGGCACTGTGGGTTAATGCACCAGACTGCAAAGTCCTCTGAACTGCAAGGTTGGTGGTTCAAGCTCACCAGCTGCTCCTTGAAAACCCTATACAGGGTCACTATGGGTCGGAATCGGCTCAACGGCACATAACACCAACACTATGAAAAGTTAAAAAATAAATAAATAAAAGCTTCCCTTTTTAACCCTATACTCCTCCCCGCCCCTTTTCTGGTCAATTTAATTATAGAATTATCTTATCAGGCAAATCTCATTCCCTGGTGGGTTAGAAACGATTTGCCAATGCTGATTTTAGGCTATCTGGTAAAACCCAACAACTGCTCCTTGGAAACCCTATACAGGGTCGCTATGAGTCAGAACCAACTCAACAGCACTTTACAACAACAATGGAAAACCTACATTATTAAGAGATACCACAACAATGTAAAGATAAACAACATTATTTTGTTCTTTAAATGCCACCACGACAAAACAGTGGTGCCCAAGAAACTTGAAAAGTTCTACTTAAACAAATTGGGAATACTTGATGTAGGAATACAATTTTAAAACACATACTAAAATACTTCCTAAAACTTCTTGTTGTTGTTAAGTACCATTGAGTTGGTTCTAACCCATAGTGACCCTGTATAGTGTTTCTGAGGAGCGTCCTCTAAGTTTGAACTGCCAAGCTGCCATTCAAACCGACCCTGCAGTCCAGCGCATTAATCCACAGCACCACATGATTTTAGAATCCCCACGGCACTACCTACTCCCTGGCTTTATGATCCTGGTCAAAGAAAGAACTTGGTTTTGACAATCTATAATCATTGGAGAAGGATGTCATTTTGGGTAGGGTGGAGGGTCAGAGAAAAAGAGGAAGACCCCCAACGAGATGGATCAGCCAGGTGGCATCATTGATGGACTCAAGTGTGGCAGCGGTAGTGAGGTTGGCCCAGGATCGGACATTGTTTCGTTCTGCTGTGCATGGGGTCGCTATGAGTCGGTTCCGACTTGATGGCACCTGACAACAACAACAACAATTGGATTATCTTTAGATCAAATAAGTAGATTCAAGTGAAATTACTTTAAAATTGTGAAGGGCTAAGTATATGTGTAGAGAGAGTCCTGGTGTGGCAGTGCAGAATAAGCATTGGACTGTTAACTGCAAGGTTGGTGGTTCAAACCCACCAGCTGCTCCTCGGAAACCCTATAAAGGGTCACCATGAGTTGGAATTAACTGGATGGCAATTAGCAATAAGTATAGGTGTGGTATGTTTATTCACTCAGTCACAATTAAATTATAATCCCCATTGTGATTCTCTGTTCTAGGAGAAACACATTCTTGTAGACAATTTCAGAAAACTTTCTCTGAACTCTACTCCAAATCAATCAGTTATCTGTTCACAGACCCAACCTAAGTTCTGTGCTAACCAAATTCACTGAGCATTAGTAATTTGTCTGCCTAGCACCCTTTTCTTCTCAGACAACAGCCCCAGCTCTTTTGTGGAACTCTCCTCCTCATTCAGCAAGCAGATCAATGGCAGGGACTAGGAGCTCTGGTAGCGTAAGCGTAGTGGTTACGAATCAGGCTGTGAACCGCAAGGTCAGCAGTTCAAAACTACCAGCTGTTCCGAGGGAGAAAGATGAGGCTTTCTGCTCCCGTAAAGATTTACAGCCTTGGAAACCCTGTACAGGGTCGCTATGAGTCGGAACCGACTCCACGGCACACAACAACAACAACATCCCCCTAATGGTCCTGCCTGTCTGGTCAGTGGCCTGGCATGAAACAAGCACATTTCATCCTAGCTCAGCCAATCCTAGTAGATCAATCTTTCTGGACACATTGGTCTGGAAGGTAGGGTAGGCTTATGACCCACAGTTCTGGAACAAGGGGAAACTCTTTTCCTCTCTCCTGCTAGAATGAAAACAGGAGCCTAGAAGCTGCTGGCATCCTTGCTCAGAGAAAATCCATTTGCAGTGGTTGAGAGTGAATTCTACACTCAGAAAGGAACAAGCTGAGAAAAGGGAGTGCTTCTGTTGTAAATACCTCAAAACAGGTATCGTGATTTGGTTTCTTGAGCCAATATATTTCTTTTTCTTTAGTTAAGTTAGGTTTGTGACATACTGATGCTAAACGAACAGAAACAGACTAGAAAAGTCATACGGTTTGAAATGGGTACAATACCTAACTGGTCCTGGGAGTTCTAGTGTGGTGCTGCAGGAAAAGCACTGGACTGCTAACCAGAAGGTCGACGGTTCAAACCCACCAGTCACACTTGGAAATGCTACACTTACTAACTAGAAGGACGGTCAACACCAAATGTGCAATTGTACCACAGTAACCATTACTTAGGGTTTGCTAACCCCAACCTCTTCCCTTTCCTCCTTCCAAACTAAGTGTTAGGGGGTGAGGGAGAAATTAAGAAAAATACACATTTGGAATTAGAATTCAGCTTAATTTTCCACCCTTAAAAAGGTTAAATCTACATGTGGCCAGATTAAAATGTTACTGATGTTGTTGTTGTTATATACCATGGATCTCTTTATTTACTTCTGGCACATTTTAATGCTTCTAACATCTCTGACTCAATGGCACTTAACAACAACATCTCCACAGAATACAGTTCTGAGTTTCTGTCATACAGCAGAACACAAGTAGGATAACCCATCTTGGACCAAAAGTGAGATTATATATTTTTCACAGCATAAAGAACATCTAGATTTCTTTAAGGTATTCAGTGGCTAAGAAAACCCACACCATGGACTAACCCCCAGCCTCCAGGGTTAATTCGCACTAACTTTTGTCAATGACAAAATAAAACAAAACAAGAGAAAAATCCTTACTTGTCCTTGATTACTAATCTCTCTTTTCCCCACCCTCTCCACTGCTTCCCATAATCTAGCTCCTGCTTCTACGATTCCACTAAAATTACTGTTTGTCAAAACTAACGCTCCCTCTAATGTTTTACTTCCCTGTGGGGCACCTGACACTCTGTTCTTCTCATCCTGTAACTTTCTCCTCTCCTGTTAAGTAGTTCCCAAGTGGAAATTTGAGGTGCTGCTACCAGAAGAGAGGATGGAAATGTTGGGCAGTCTGAAGAAACAGACACTCACTGCATTCATTCATTGCAGCCTCTTGTAATACAGTCTTTCTTCGTTTCTGTCTGTCCTAGCTCCACCTATCCTTCGAGGAACATGGTGTCATCTCCTTGGAATTTCTAGAGCTCTTTGCTCCACTCTAATGACTCCAGTGGTAATTACAAGTAGTTTCTGTATTTTCCTCCTCTGCCTCATCTCTTGCTCATTGAAGGAGGGGACCACTCTCCACTCCTTTTTCTCTTAGAGACCACCCTTGACACATCTTTGTCCCGCCTCCATACTTAGTACAGAGAAGTCTGCATAGTGTATACTGAATGAATAGACTGGTTTTAACATTCAGCAACATATTTGCTACTCACAGAGTAATTGAGAAAAATTAAAAATTGTATCGAGGATTAGAAAAATGTTGCCCCCTGACAATATCACGTTTCCCTTTGTGAAAGTTGTTAAACTCCCGTGGGATTTGCTGTTGTTCTTAAATGTTGAGTCAATTCCCACCTATAGCGTCCCTGTATAGGGCTTCCAAGGAGCAGCTGGTGAGCCTGAACCACTGACCTTGCAGTTCAAACGGCTTTGCAGTCTGATGCATTAGCCCATAGTGCCACACCATGGGGGGTAGGAGGTATAATGCAAGCATATCATTTTCTCATAGAATCCATTTTATGATGGTACTGCCATATAATTATGGAACTGAGCCAAACTTTAACCCTCAACAGTAGTTCTTCATCTTCTTAAGAAGAGAAATTTAAAAGTAACAATTTGGAGGGAAAGCATGAGGAAAAAAGTAAGGGCTGAATTAGATGACCTTGGAAGTATCTACCAGTACTAAGTTCTGGTAACCTTCTGGTGGTTGTTGTTGATGATGTTAAGTGCCATTGGATTGGTTTTGACTCATAGCAACCCTGTACAAGGTTTATAAGGCTGTAAATTTTTATGAGAACAGAAAACCACATCTTATTCCCAAGGAGTGGTTGGTGGGCTCAAACCTGCAGTTAATAGTTCAGTGTTAA